CTGGAAGCGATGTCTTCACTGAGAAAGGGTTTAAAAATTGGAGGAAGGGACCATTGTGATCAAGCAGACAGACCAAGCTCGTATTAATTATCGCATTCTATTAACTGCTGCACTTGATTGCTCTAGATATTTATTGAGACAAGGTCTTCCTTTCCGTGGCCATGATGAAAGCGAAACATCTAGCAATAAGGGTAATTATGTGGAGCTTTTGCAATTTCTTGCCGATCATGATGAGAAAGTTCGTGCCGTTGTGTTTGAGAACGCTCCAGGGAATCTCAAGTATATTGCTCCTAAAATTCAAAAAGAGCTTGTCAATTCTTGTGCCTCTGAAACCATTGATGCAATTATTAGTGATATGGACGATGCATTCTTTTCTATATTGGTAGATGAATCACATGATGTTTCAATAAGAGAGCAAATGGCAGTGGTGTTGCGTTATGTGAACAAAAAAGGGCAAGTAATTGAAAGGTTTGTGGGTGTCCAATATGTCTCTGATACGACTAGTAGCAAATTGAAAGAGGCAATTGAGCAGTTGATTTCTTCAACAAATTTGAGCATGTCTAGGCTACGAGGACAGGGGTATGATGGCGCTAGTAATATGAGAGGTGAGCTCAATGGTCTTAAAACACAGATTTTGAGAGAATATCCTCAAGCATATTATGTCCATTGTTTTGCACATCAACTACAACTAGCTCTTGTAGCCGTGGCAAAGGGAAATGAAAACATTGCTACTTTCTTCACAACGGCTAGTAGTGTCGTTAATATTATTGGAGCATCGTGTAAGCGTCGTGATGCACTTAGAGAGCAACAACAAAAAGATATTATGAAAGCTCTTGAAATTGATGATCTTGAAACGGGGCAAGGGTTAAATCAAGAGACTACTCTCAAACGCCCTTGTGATACACGTTGGAACTCACATTATGATACTTTACTTAGTATTAATACTATGTTTCATCCCGTGGTAAAGGTGCTTGAATGGATTGTTGATGATGTCAACCAAGATAATTTAGGTGAAGCAAATAGGTTGTTAAAAGAAATACAAACTTTTGACTTTGTGTTTCACCTATATTTGATGAGATTTATATTGGGAGTCACAAATGATTTGTCAAAGGCATTACAAAAGAAAGATCAAGATATTGTGAATGCAATGATGTTGGTCCAAAGATGTAAGCAAAAGCTACAATCCGTGAGGGATGATGACTTTAATAATTTGCTTGGCGAAGTATCAAGATTTTGTGGCAACAATGATATTGACGTTCCTAACATGGATGCTTAGAAAGCAACAACAAAAAGATATTATGAAAGCTCTTGAAATTGATGATCTTGAAACTGGGCATGGGTTAAATCAAGAGACTACTCTCAAACGTCCTTGTGATACACGTTGGAACTCACATTATGATACTTTACTTAGTATTAATACTATGTTTCATCCCGTGGTGAAGGTGCTTGAATGGATTGTTGATGATGTCAACCAAGATAATTTAGGTGAAGCAAATAGGTTGTTAAAAGAAATACAAACTTTTGACTTTGTGTTTCACCTATATTTGATGAGATTTATATTGGGAGTCACAAATGATTTGTCAAAGGCATTACAAAAGAAAGATCAAGATATTGTGAATGCAATGATGTTGGTCCAAAGATGTAAGCAAAAGCTACAATCCGTGAGGGATGATGACTTTAATGATTTGCTTGGCGAAGTATCAAGATTTTGTGGCAACAATGATATTGACGTTCCTAACATGGATGATTTATTTGTACCACAAGGGAGATCACGACGTAAAGCTCAGAAAATCACAAACCGCCATTATTATCGTGTGGATCTATTTCTTACTATCATTGATAAGCAACTAGTGGAATTGAGAAGCCCCACTATCTGCAATCCAGACTTGATCAGGCATATAGGAAGGTTGTGCAGCCATAGCAGATAGGTTGGAAGCGGGAGCTTGACCCTGATAGACATAGTTGGATCCATGGAAACAATCCAAAGCACCATGACCCCTCTTACCATAGATTTGGCACTCAATAACCTGAGAACCATGCCTAGAAGAGCTTGCCTCATGACGAAAATAACAGTTAGCAGCTGTGTGACCCCGTTTGCTGCATATCTGACATTCAGGAACAACTGCAGATTTCTGAGAAAAATTGGAACCAAACCGATTTCCTGAGAACGATGGAGCTGAGGCTCTGCTTTGAAATTTGCCCCTTCTAGAACCAACATGATTAGGAAAACCAGAAACACCTCCATGTTGACTATTACCAATACTGTGATGCTGATAATCATTAAAACGACTAAAACCACCATTGTTACCAAGACAGGTCTTGAACCAAAATTTCCATCCAATGAAGGCAGAGCAGAACGATCACGATCATAGGACCCCATATAAGCAACTGGTAAAGAAGATGGAATAGGCAATAAACCCATACCAGAATTAGAAGGGCGGCCCATAGCATTCACAGAAGCATACGACGAAGGAGAAGTCATGAACATCGCAGAGTGAGGAACCAATCGAGCTTCTGCGGTTTGCTCTGCAGCCAGCAATTGAGCACGAAAATCCTCCAATGAAATTGAAGAATCCCTAGCAATCAAGACAGTCTTGATCATATCATATTCAGAAGGCAGCCCATTGAGGGTAGCAATCATGAAATCGTCATCTGAGACCTTCACACCTGCTTGAGCAAGCTGATCTTGAACATGCTTTAAACGCAGAAGATATCTTTCGATAGAATCCCCCCCTTTTTGAGCGGTTTGAAGCTCAGTCTTCAAATGATTAATACGGGCTCGTGAAACTGAGGCATAGCTATCCACCAAATTGAGCCAAGCATCTCGAGCCGTCTTAGTCCCAATGACATATTCCAGGGCTTCATCCGACAAAGTGGCGATGAGCAGGCTGAGAAGTGCCTTGTCAGTCTTCAGCCATTCCTTGTAACCGGCGGTGACTTGAGATGTAACACCCTCTTCGTCCAAGATTGTAAATTTTGGTGGCTGAGTGATAGAGCCATTGAAATGCCCAAACAGCTCATACCCCTGCAACATAGATTCCAATTGAAAACTCCACTTTAGGAAATTGTTGTCACCGAGACGAATGGTAACCATACTAAGCAGGCCATCAATCTTGATGGAGGGAGAAGAGGCCATTATGCAGCAAGAACGAACCCTAGAATTTAGGAAGAACCCTAGAATTGAAATTGAATGAAGAAAAAGGAGGAAATCGGGAAGAAAAGAAAAGGAGGCAAGAAGTGAAATGGCAGCCAGAGAAAGCGTAGAAGGATCGATTGATTATGTGAAAGCCAATGAGGGCTCTGATACCATGTTATCCAACATTCTCACAGAAGTATGAGAAAGAGATCTGAAGAAGAAGAAGAGAGAAAGATAAACAGAGAGAACTTGCAATCTTGATTTCTATATTGCTTAATTTGTTTTGCTACAGCACTGTTACACTTTATACCTGTTAAGCAAGGCTTAACCGTCTAACCAATCCAGCTGTCTAACTTCCTCACTACTAACCACTCGCGTGCTTTACACACCTAACTCACTAACTGTTTAATATCCATAGTTCACATGGAATACAGCAAAACATTCAACCATTTACTTTCTTGAGATGGTATCAGAGCTTTATCCTAGCCACCTTCAACAACCATGGCCAATCTAATACCACCTTTAAACACCATGTCATATCAAACACCACTAGAAACCAGAAACAACAATTCCAAAAATTCAAGCGCCAGCACCAAAAATTCCGGTATGGATTCATCACACCCATATTTTGTTCATCAATTAGATCACCTCGGTCTCATGCTAATTCCAATAAAGTTGAACGGCCTCAATTACCCATCTTGGAGTAAATCCATGATTCATGCTCTCATAGCCAAAAACAAAGTTGGCTTTGTCAACAGATCCATTCAACCTTCTTCAGAAACTGAACAACAACATAATAGGCCAAAGCAGTCATTCATGCCAAGACTGTCCATCAAGTGTGGCAAGATTTCAGAGATCAATGCTCACAAAAGAATACACCTACCATACATTAGACACAGAAATCCATCGCCTCTCTCTCTCACAAGGCACAATGACGGTTTCAGACTACTACAAAAAACTCAAAGATTTCTAGGATGAATTAGAAACATATCAAACCCCTCTCACATGTAACGATATGAAAGCACACAATGCACAAAAGGATGATGCAAAGGACCTCAACGACACCCACAATGGTGTTCGTGGCAACATCCTCATGATGTCGCCATTGCCTAATGTCTGCCAAGCCTATTCACTGGTCGTTCAAGACAAAACACAACGATAGATAACATAAGGACCAACAGAGAATTTTTCCATTGCCGCTGCGATTCACGGCCGATGAAACAATATGTCGAATAATTCCACAAACAAACACTGTGAGCACTGTGATAGAAATGGTCATACAATTGAAGAACGTCAGATCCTCAAATTCCATGAAAAGTATTGTGACATGAGAGGCCACACTGAGGATAGATGTAAATTTAAAAATGGGACATGCGTTCCCAATGACACAGGAACATCAACCCGTGGGGGTCCTTTCCTGCTGCCCACGCAGCAGACACAGCTCCAGCGCATGGTCCCTAGTCACATGGCTTCAGTGCACCAACCCAGCTGGCCTCTCCAACCCTTTACAGGGGATTTCTGTAAAGCAATTAAAACACTTGAAATAAGCAAACTGACGTTGAACCCAATCTATTTCAGTCAGTTTCCGCCAGTGCCAACCAAGCAGGCAATTCTCTCAAGAAAAAAAACATGCGTTCATGGCAGAAGTAGTTACAGTGAGCAATAACTTGCCAATGTCATCAAAGGGAGGCCCTACAACAACATACTAAAACGATGAATTCCATACCCTCCATAAAAGATTATTCCAAACTGGATGCTTATTATATTACACCCAAGGGGGAAAAAGTGAGAACCCGAAATGAGATAGCAGCATTTTTAAAAGAAAATCCTATATACGAAGGCATATCCGCTTCAGATTTCGACTTTGCAATGCAAGCCCAAAGGTTATGGAAGACACTATCCCTGAGATTGTCGGTAAAAAGGATTCTGGTAGCAGCTACAAAAAAATAAGACCTCTGAAGGATGAGGAGGAGACGGGCAGTGTATTCTGACCAAAAAAAAAAAAAAAGACGGGCAGTGTATGAGTAATGTATGTTGAAAGATCACCGGTGAAAATTTTCTTGGGAGGTTTTGCCTTGTGTGGAAATGATGTCTGTTGGTCCGTACTGATATGCTCCAGCCGCACTTGTGTTCTTTGTATTTCTATTTGTTCACTTCACTAACGAAGACGATTTGAGGAGAGCCGCAATGTTATTCACATAGATTGAACTTGGGTCGATTTCGGAAAAATGATACTTGTAGAGAGTTGCATTGGTTGAATTTCCATCGTATTTTTTGTTTTCTTTGGTAATTGGTTTTAAGCATATTTCATTTCACAAACCTTTTGAGTAGGGGAGGGGTGGCAAGGCAACAATATATTCAAGTGAAGTCATTACAATGGTGACATGACATGGTTTGTCCAACTGATACATATACGTGTCCAACTGATACATATACATCCTATGTTTTTGAAGGAAAAGGAACAGAAATCTACTGGAAAATATAATATTGTTGTATGGCTTTTCTCCAACCACTACTAAAAAGGGGGCAATAGTCACCCTTTTGTCACTAACTTATTGGTATTGGTGACAATTGAATGGTTGGTCAATGCTTTTGTTTATCTGTCACTATTATTTGTGACTAATTTCTCACATTTTAATATTTTGGTGACAGTTGATTT